TTTTTTTTAGTTGTAGATGGACAATATCTTTATTTTGTTTATATATTTTTATGTGGTACTGAGGATCAAACCCAGTGCCTCACATGTATGAGGTAAGTTCTCTACTGCTGAGCTACAACCCCAGCTCCTAGCTGAATTCTTAAATTAAAATAAATACAAATAACTTACGTGTGTCAAATGAGTTACTATAATATTGTTTCTCACAGTTACCTTCCCATCTATCAACTGAAATATAAAGAGTTTTTTTACCCCTGAAAGTAACCTGAAATGAAATAAAAGACATATGTTAAGTCTAGAAAAATATCCATTATAGAAATTTTTAATTAAAGATTCAGAACTAGGGGACAAAAAAGGTCAGATGATAAAAAAATGAAAAACATCAATCTTTGATTACCTTAAGACTCAAGATATCTCAACATCATCTTAGGGAGAAGTCTGAAACAGTGTTATCAAAGCACCTTTCCCACATATTTGATGACCCAGAGACCATCCCAGGCCTGAAACTGTCAGTCCACACTTTTTGGCAGGAGCACCAAGATTGGGCACTCAGCCATAACAGCACTACAAGCCTTGTTAGATTCCCAGCCACAGGATTTGGTACAGGCAATTCTCATCAATACACTGCCCAGTAAAAGGAGTCAACAATAAACTTTGCTTTGAGCTCAGACAGTTAAAAAAAAATGATGTCCTAATTCAATAAAATCATATACTAAACTACTTAAAATGGAAAAGAAGCAAATGTCAACATCTCCAATTTCCAGAGTCAAATCCAAAGTCTGAACTTCATCTCTAAGGGCCCGTTTCTAGTTTGCATGTGGAAAACTTATGAGCACTTTCCTTTACAAAAAGTTTTGCTTCTCACTAATAAATTAAGAAATTATTACCAAATAGTTAAGAAATCTTACCATAGAGTTTCCCGAATAACCTGTGTCTCAGTAACAGAAACTCTATCATCTGGAACATACAATGGATCACTACTGTACAAGTGTTGATCCCTAGTAGAGAGCAAACATAAATGTCAACTGTTAAGTTTCTAACTTGGTAAAATTACTTACCTCAATGAACACATGCAAGTTTGTGCTACCTCAGCTAGTAATCAATCAGCAAATAAAATGATAAATGCCCTCCATATTCATTTTCACACACTGAAATACTCTCAGAGAAACATTTTCAGAGTGTTTCCAACTATTATGTTTATTGCTGATTTAGGCAAATGTTTATGACTATGCAATGTGTCTTCTGTAAAACAGTAAATGTACTTTTGTTTTAAATCGTTATTTAAAAATTGTTCAATTAGAATTGTCTTAAAACAACAACTAACAAGCTTAGATTTCAGGTAAATAGTTGATTTAAATCACAAATCAAAGCAAAATATCTAAACATCAAATTTTATTCTTTCATTACATTAAATGAAAAGTTTAACTTCTTACCATACAGCAGCTAAATTGGAGTGTAAATGCAAACTATGTGGAATTCGTGAGGGTCTGGCTGTCCAGTACTGATGAACCACATGCTGTTCTAACCAGCTTCGGCCATCTGGCTCATCTGTTGGAAAGAA